TTGTGCCTTACACCACCAGTCCTTGGTAGGGAGGGCTGTGCTGCTTCCCATCACTGTTTAAATGGACAAAGGGAACTCTAGAAGTTCACTGACATGGGTGTTGTATATGGGGCTTAGTAGCCTGCTGATTACTTTTGGTTTAAGGGGAAAAAATGGATCTCCCTGAGATGAGCTTCATGGAAGTCGCTCCAAATCCTTGTGGATGCCAAAATCTCCAGGTAATTTATGTAATGCTTGCCTAAAGGCAGTGAGTGATGGAAGATGAAACACTTGGGTTTATTTCTCTGTCCCTATAAACCTGCCTGCCTTAGAAACACCAGTTTATCCATTAAACTTCTAATACCTGCCAAGCTCCTGTTGCCCAGGCATTACTTTCAGACTAGTCCACAGCTGACAGAGCAAGACTCTGTTGCTGTTGTCTGTGGGCTCTCTTCTTGCTGGAAACATTAGAAACTGAAGGTGTTCCCCTGCGAAAGAGATGCTGCCAGCTCCTAAAAGCCATCACCACAACTCCTCTCCTTTTATTGCAGTCCAGCACACGAGGCTCAGCTCACAACTGAGTTGTTATGATGCTAGAATCAACATTGCAAAGGTACTTCAAAGCCATGGTTTGTGTTAAAAGGGATCTGACCGAAGGGATGTTGCAAAACATGGTCTAAAGCATCTATAAAACAAACCCCCATGCTTTCCTCTGGCCCTGTCAAGGTAACTTGGGAAATGCAGCAAAAGGTGTGAGCCTCCAGCACCTTGCTCCAGCAGCCAGCCTGTGGTGCTAGAGGCACTTGGATTGATGCTGCAATGCCTTCTCTCAGCACAGGTTTGATGGAGAACATATTCCTATCTCTTTTTAATGAACTCCAGAGTAGTCTCCTGCTGTTTCAGCTGAATTCAGGCAGGAACTCACTTTAGCTCAGGTCCATGTTTCAGACAAGGTAAGAGCATCCCTGTGTTTCCAGCTCCAGAGGATTCGTGGCAGTGGTAGCACTACTCAGTGTTTCCTTAAGTGGTTACAAAACCTGCCAAGGTGACAGCACCTGGGGGACCAGCAGCGAGGCTCAGAGCTGCTCCTCTGCAGCCCTAGTGCACGGCTGTGCTGGGAGAACAGAGGGGAAATGGCAACGAGCCAGAGCCCAGGATATAGGAGATGAAGGGGGATGTAAAGGCGCCTTTGTCTGTGGTTCCCAAGGGGAGGCACCATTTTAACCTTCTGAGTCTGTTCAGTGGGGGGCAAAAAAGACCCACTGTTCATCCAATGGAGCATGCCCCATGCCTCCTTAGCCTCTGGTGGAGGCAGAGGCGTCATTTGCTGAGGGCTGGCAGAGGTTGTGCAGGGCTCAGTGGGTCCCTCTGGGGCAGGGCACTAAACTGGGCCTATCATCTCCCTCCAATACCTGCAACAAGCACCAGCCCAATTCCCAGATCATAAAATCATAGAATCCCAGACTGGTTTGTGTTGGAAGGTACCTTAAAGCTCATCCAGTTCCAACCCCTGCCACAGGCAGGGACACCTTCCACTAGAGCAGGGTGCTCCAAGCCCCTGTGTCCAACCTGGCCTTGAACACTGCCAGGGAATGGGGCATTCACAACTTGCTTGGGCAACCCATTCCATTACCTCAACACCTTCACAATAAAGAGCTTCTTCCTTATCTCCAGTCTAAACTTGCCCTGTTTCAGTTTGAACCCATCACCCCTTGTCCTATCACTACAGTCCCCGATGAAGAGTCCCTCCCCACCATCCTTGTAGCTCCCTTCAGATACTGGAAGCTTCTCTGAGGTCTCCACACAGCTTCTCTTCTCCAGGTGCTCCAGCCCCCTACATGTGTGCTGGTGTTTCTGCTTCCGGGCATCACTCGATGAAGCCCATAGCTCCCCTCTGGCTAATGTGTTTGGGGGTTCAGAAACAGACATGGTGCCCATGGCACAGAGCCAGGGAACCTGCTCTCTGCAAGGCCGCTCTGTGTGCTGGGACTGCAAGCACAGCCCTGTGGAGGCACAAGCCCTTTTCCCCCTCCCACCCAAATTCCTCTCCTTTTCTCCCAGTTCAATGACTGCCAGCCTTTGTCTCGTGGTCTGGCAGAGCCTGGTGCCACACACACCAGAGGGACAAAGAAATAAGTGGCTTTTCTCCCTGAGCCTGCCATGAAGAGCCCACATTGTGTTTTACTGGGGAGAGGGAGGCAGGCAGAGGGCTGGAGTGTTTTGCTCAGCCTTCGACTCTGTAAAACCCTCTGTTTCCTTAAACACATCTTCCCAAAGCTCTGGCAAGGAAGCAGTGACCCTGAGGGAAGGAGCCCCAGGGTTACACTGTCCTGGTCAAAGATCAGGACCATGAATTCTAAAACAGAATCATAGAACCCCAGCCCGGTTTGTGTTGGAAGGGACCTTAAAGCTCACCCAGTTCCAACTCCTGCCACGGGCAGGGACACCTTCCACTAGAGCAGGGTGCTCCAAGCCCCTGTGTCCAACCTGGCCTCCAACACTTATGAAAAACGGAAGCAGCTCTCTAGGAAGCACTAAAAGCAAAAGCATCTCTTAGCCCCACACCTGTGCCCTGGCTTCCTGGACTTTCACAGCCTGGATCCGGGACAACCCAGGCCAAGAGAGCAGCGTTTGCTAGGATGTGAGCGTTTGCTAGGTGTGTTTGAATGCATTCCAGGGACGTTGCCTGGAGCTGGTCATTAGCAGAGGCAGGAAAGGACCAAGGTTTCTGGTGTTCGCACCGGATCCTGCTGCTCCTTCCCATGCTATCAGCCAGTGCAGCAGCTCATTCCAGATCATTCCCTGTAAAATATACAAGTCAGAATTGGGGTGCAATGGACAGGAAGAATAAGCAGGAAAGAGAATGTCAAGACTGTTCAGGCTTTGATCTGCCAAACGCTAAATTTTCTGTTCCCTTCTGGGAAAAGGTCACTTTCAAGAATGAAATCAGGAAATGGTTTAACAAGGCTGAGCCAGCAGCTTGTCTCTGAGCAGAAATGGTGTGTTTGAATGCATTCCATGGCTGAGCGAAGAGATCTGCAAATCGAACCAAGAGAAATATCATTTCACAGAGTCATAGAATAGTTTGGGTTGGCTTTCCCCAAACCAGTGTTTAAAGCTGTTACAAAACCTTCCAAGAGCTGATGTAGGGAAATGATCAGTGTGGACAGGTCTCTTGCACACGGTACATGGACATGGGTTAGTGGTGGACTTGGCAGTCCTGAGGTAAAGGCTGGACTTGAGGATCTTAAAGGTCTTTTCTAACCTGGCTGATTCTGTGAGTCTAACCTGCCTTCTTGGTAACAGTGCTGATGTGTTCCAAGTCACCCTGAGCCTGAAATTCATCACAGACATAGGATCATGGAATAGTTAGGGTTGGAAAGGACCTTAAGAACATCCAGTTCCAGCCCCCCTACAATGGGCAGGGACACCTCACACTAAACCATGTCACCCAAGGCCTCGTCCAACCTGGCTTTGAACACTGCCAGGGATGGAGCATTCACAATTTCTTTGGGCAACCCATTCCAGTGCCTCACCACCCTTACAGGAAAGAATTTCCTCCTTATATCCAATCTAAACTTCCCCTGTTTAAGTTTTAATCCATTACTCCTTGTCCTATCACTACAGTCCCTAATGAAGAGTCCATCCCCAGCATCCCTATAGGCCCCCTTCAGATACTGGAAGGCTGCTCTGAGGTCTCCACGCAGCCTTCTCTTCTCCAGGCTGAACAGCCCCAACTTTCTCAGCCATCTTCATATGGGAGGTGCTCCAGTCCCCTGATCATCCTCGTGGCCTCCTCTGGACTTGTTCCAATAGTTCCATGTCCTTTTTATGCTGAGGACACCAGAACTGCACACAATACTCCAAGTGAGGTCTCACAAGAGCAGAATAGAGGGGCAGGATCACCTCCTTCGACCTGTAAAAGCAGTTACTGATCCTGCACTGCAATGAGAAAGGCTTAAATGGAAACACACCACATCAGTAACAGCAAACAGCTTCAGCTGTGGCTCATCCCACCTCAGCTTGGGAAACAGCTCGGCTAGGCAATGAAACACAGTGAAAACCTGCTTTCCTCAGCCAGTTCTCTGTGTTTATCAACCACCCCATTGTACTGAGCAAGCTGCTCTTGCTGCTTGTCTCCTGCTTCCCTCCAGATCCCAATTCCCTGCTGGGCTGCCCACTGGCTCCCACAGAGCATCACAGAATCAACTGAGTTGGAAAAGCCCTTTAAGCTCATCCGGTCCAACCATTCCCCAGCACTGCCAAGGCCACCACTAACCCATAGCACTGAGGGCCTCCTCTACACGGTGTGTGAACCTGCCATCGGGTCTGTGCATCAGCCTGCAGGGGAGTCTGTGATGGAAATGGACACTCACAGCTTTTGGGTTTCAGTACAGGGACATCTAATGCCTGCAGTGGCTGCCTGGACTGGCAGAGGACTTCTCAGCAGCACCACATCTGTGGCTGTGACATGGACAACATGGTGCATGCAAGGAGGAGGTTCCTGGTTCCCCCCGTGCCCCAGCATGTGTCACAGCCACTGGCCAGGTGACAGCCCCATAACCCAAACCCACCTGATGTGGCTTTTTGTGAGGGCATGGCCAGGCACACCCCAGAACCTGGCACTTTCCCCACATCAGGGAGGCATCAGGGAGGAGGTGTGGCTGCTGCCAGCTCTGTCCTTCAACCCCTTGCAGCCTGATACCATCACAATTCCCCCCCAGAGCATCCCACTGACCCCAGATGCCGGGTGGCAGAGAAGACACAGTCAGACCCATCTCAGAGGTGCACAGCAAAGCTACAAGAGGCTGCAGGCACAAGCTGCCCTGATGGATGTTGCCATCACAAGCAAAGGAAAACCTCTGCCCCAGAGGACACCAGGGGCAGCCCTAGGACCCTATCTGCAGGGACAGGGTGCTCCATCCTTTGCATGTTCCTATCCCTGGCTGTGGGGCCCAGCCCTGACTCTCAGTTCATTGCCTTCACTGTGGCAGAAGCAGCAGCACAAGCTGCTCTCCTGCTGACTGCCCAGCTCTTTTGGCTCCTCACAACGGTGGCTTTCTCCTGAGCAGCTCCCACACTGGCAGCCGTGGGCTGGCAGCGAGTCAATGCATCCCTGTGTGCATCCTTGTGCCGGGATGGCTCCGGATGCCCCCGCCCTCCGCTGCCATTGGCACTGCAGGCAATAAGAAGGCAGCGAGTCCCCTGGACGGGCTGCACTGCTGTGTCACAGCCCCGACGCCAGCACGGAGGTGAGAGGGGCTGCGGGGGGCCGGGGCACCGGGATTTGGGGGTCTTGCTGCCATGGCAGGGGTGGTGTGGGGGCACCACTGCAGCAGGGAGCTGAAACCCTCCTCAGCCTTGCAGAGAGGAAGCAGCAGGGCATGAGCATGCAAAGGGCTGTGAGGATGCATGCCTGAAGGGCTTTAGGAGTATTTCCTACCTGACTGGAGACGGTCCCAATGACTGGGCACTGCCTGTGACACAGAGAAGGTGTCGGCTTGGGACTCATGCCACAGGATGACAGTGCTTTCAGCATCCAGCCTTGTCAAGGTGAAATGGGAGCCGGGCTGCAGGGCAGGAGATGTTTATCCGTGGGGTATGAATGAGCTGAGTGCCAGACTAAGACTTGCCCCCCTCCCAGCATCAGTGCATTCTACAGCTTTTGGGAAGGGGGTTGTGCATCTCTCCCTTTTAGATGAGTGTCTCACTGGTTGGTTTGTGAAACCTGCAGGAAACGCTGCAATCCCAGTGGTTAACATTCCAAAGAATCTCCACATCACGGGAGGAGGGGGGTTACAGGAGATGTGCTTAGCTTGCCCTGCTGGCACTCATCAAACCCAGCTCCTGGCTGGGTTCCCCTGAGCGCTCTGCAGGCATGAGAGGCGGAGGTGAACGTGCCTGTGACAGAGGGGACAGCAGAGCCTTCCTGAAGCTCCCTGTGCAGAGATGAAACCCCTGCCTGCCCCTCTCCCAGGCAAGAACAACGCAATGGGTTAAGCAGCAGGAGCCAAAGAAGACATGAAGTGACACATAGCATCTGCTATACAAAGAAAACGCAGGAGCACCTTGCTGCAAGGCACCAGGGCTTTGCAGCCTCTCCTCGTTTGCTCTCCTTCCCTCTGACCATGCAGACACCCAAGGTGTCAAACTCACAGCAGTCCCAGAGGGTATGTCCGCTCCTGGTGTCCTGTGCTGACTGGGCACTCCTCCTGTTGTAGCTCCCCATCCCTCCTGGAGGCAGAGCTGAGGTTTCTCAGGATCTTCCTCCCTGAAGTGAGTGCTGCCAGTGGGGCTTTTCAGCAGCATGGATTGAGTTTGGGGTCCAGTGCTGCCCATGCATGGGGGAAGCCTTGGGGCAGTCACACTTGCAATGGAACGGGCATTTCTGGAGCTGTCCCAGACTAATGCACCCATTGCTCCCTCTGACCCCAGAGCCACATTGCAACCATGTCTGAGCTGGAGAAGGCCATGATTGCCATCATTGATGCCTTCCACCAGTACTCGGGGAAGGAGGGAGACAAGCACAAGCTGAAGAAGTCAGAACTGAAGGAGCTCATTAACAATGAGTTGAGCCATTTCCTTGGGGTAAGTACTGCACCCCATGCAGCTGACCAGCTCCCAGGCTCTGCTAACCCTATCTCCCATGGGAAACGAGCAGGGGAAGGGGAAGCTGGAGGAGCAGTGCACTGAACACTTTGTTCCTGCTCCACAGGAGCAGCCATTGGAAAAACAAGGGCAACAGCCTTCACAGGGAGCTCTGGTTTGGGTTGAATACTAGGGAAATCAGGCTGGGAGAGCTGGGCTGCTTCAGCCTGGAGCACAGAAGGCTCCTTAAGGGGAGACCTCAGAGCAGCTCCAGTGCCTCAAGGGGCTGCAGGAAACCTGGAGAGGGGCTTTGGACAAGGGCCTGTAGGGACAGGACAAGGGGAATGGCTTTAACCTGCCAGAACAGGGGAGACTGAGATGAGCTCTTAGGCAGAAGCTCTTCCCTGTGAGGGTGCTGAGGCGCTGGCACAGGGTGCCCAGAGAAGCTGTGGCTGCCCCATCCCTGGCAGTGTTCAAGGCCAGGTTGGACACAGGGGCTTGGAGCAACCTGCTCTAGTGGTGGAAGGTGTCCATGCCCATGGCAGGGGTTGGAACTGGATGAGCTTGAAGGTCCCTTCCAACACAAACCAGGCTGGGATCCTATTGTTCTGTGAAATTTCCTTCCCTGGGAAGGGGGACAGCCCCAAGGGGCTCAAGATGTCTTTTCCCAGTGGAAGCTGTGGCTGTGATTCCCACTCCAGATGATGGTGCAGCACAGGGTGGTATCCAGCCCAGGTGGGGAACCATCAGCTATTAGGGATGTGTCTGAGCAGAGATTCAGCCATGAGAACATTTGAGAAACTGGGACACGGCACAGCTGGGCCTCGCTGTGATCCCCCCCCCCCAGCTTTGGCTGCCTCTTTCTATCCCTTCAGGAGATCAAAGACCAGGAGACTGTGGACAAAGTCATGGAAGCGCTGGACAGTGATGGCGATGCAGAATGCGACTTCCAGGAGTTTGTAGCCTTCATTGCAATGGTCACTGCTGCTTGCCACGAGTTCTTTGAGCATGAATGAGCTGGTGGGAGAGAGGTGAGCACCTCCCGCTCATGCTGGAGAGGAGCAGAGCAGCAAGTTCCTCTGGGAAAATGACTGGAGTTCCTTGGAGTTAAGCTTGTGCTAGACTTAAGCAGCTTATTAAGTTCTACGGCTTTGTGAACAAGAACCCCCTACATGGTTCAGGGAAGTGCCCACCTGGCTGGATGTGGTGTGAGAATGCCTTGTCTCCAGCTCCTTCCATGCTGCTGTATGCCAGGGATGTGCACAGGGCTGGATGATGCTGTGATCCAAGCTTGCTTGCAAAGGGAAAAGGGGAATTCAGGGGCCGAAGCAGGAGGTGATGCAGAGAGGCTGGTTACAGAAGCCTGGTTCTGGCCTGAGCAGAAAGGCTCCTGTTGATTCCCATGGGCTCTGACTGCCCTGTGCATGGCACTAACACAAACAGCACAGCCCGTCCCTGTCATGGGGCTCAGCAGAGCTCACACACTTCTTGGTAAATTGAGACACCCTTGGCTTGAAAGGCAAAGCATAACTACCTAACAGCCCAGGCTCTTCTCTTGACAATGAATCCTCCTGCTTTGAGCAGCCTGCAGTCTGGAAGCAAAAGTGTATGAGGCTCCTGCCTTAGGGACAGCCGCTGGGCCTGGAAGCGCCTTGGTAAGGTCTCCAGGCTCAGTCAGAAGGCATGAAGGGATCTACCCAATGTGACCACAGTGCTTTAACATAGACCAGAGCCTCCAGTGTGTGGAAATGGTGAGAATAAAATGTTGGTTTGGTCTCTGGTGAAAAGCGTGTCCTTTTGTTCCATGCAGCTCCCCAGCTGCCTGCACTGTCACAGGAGCCTCAAGCACTGCTGCAGCTCATGCCCCTGGGTTGCTTGTTGGGCATGGACCCTTCAACTCTTCCCTGGCATCACTGTGGCTGTCAGACTGGCAGATGTACCTGCAAGGCCAAAAGAGCACAATGTACCTCCATGGGGCTGCTGCTGTTCAGGATGTGCACACTGCCAACAAGGGTCATCCAGGGCTTGCACTGGTGAACCTTGGCAAGGCCAAAACTAAACCTAAGACAATTCCCCTGAAGCCTTGTCCAGTGCACTTGCTGTGCAGTTTAGCAATAGCTCTGAGTTAGGCATTCGTGGCTAGCAGCATCTATAGTGACAAATCCACAACAAAGATGCCCACAGATGTTCTTTCTACCTCATTACACATTTCATTATGATTTCATGCACAAAGTGACATGTCTTTGCACAGGGACCATCTTGCTATTCTCATCTGCCTCCCCCAGGCTGTAAAAGGAGACACTTGGGCAGACATGCACACAAAAAAAGACAATGTCTTGTACTGCATCTGCAATTAAAACCCAGCTATGCCATCCCAGGGAAGTGTCAGTTTGCTGAGAACTTGTTTAGCATCTGAGTTACTTCCACCGCATTTTTAACATCCTCATCTTGATTCAGCTGTTTCCAACACTTCCACAGACCTGAAGCAGTGTGGGAGGACAATGAATGGGGAAGCTGCCTGTCCCAGTGTCCCCAAGGTTAGGCAGGGTTCATGGGACCCTCTCTTAAGCCTGAATCTGAGTTCAGCAGAGGGCTCAGATGCTTCAGCACAAGGTTCTGCTAGTGAGGCTGCCTGGAAGGTCTCCAAGTCCCACTTGCCTTCCGTCTCACCTCACCAGCAGTGCTCCCATGGTGAGGAATCCTTCCCCAAGACTGAGTGTTTTCAGCAACTCCGCACAGCTGTGCAGCAGCATGGCTTGAAGCCTGCAGAGCCAGGGAGACACGGAGCAGGCTGTCCTCATTCCCCTTGTGAGCAATGACAGTAGGAGCAGGGAGTGACACAGCACAGGTATGCGTATTTATGGCACCACCACTTCTGGGAACTCACAGAGTCTTTAACCTGGCACAGGAGAATCACAGAATCGACCAGGTTGGAAAACACCTTTAAGATCATCAAGTCCAACCTGTACCCCAGCACTGCCAAGGCCACCCCAAAACCATGTCCCTAAGGCCCTTGTCTACACGGTTGGGAACACTTCCAGGGACAGTAAAAATGCCTGACCACCCTTTGGGGAAGGAATTGCTCCCAATATCCAATCTAAACATCCAGAGCTTGTGCCTCTTGTCAGGTGTGGGAGGTACACCTGCTCTGACAAGGGCTGGACAAAGACAGGACAAAAGCCCACAGAAACTTCCCACCACAGACAGAATCCCAGGAAAACACCCCATACAGCTCTTTCTTGTCATACCCACATGGTGGTGGTTAGTTGGTCAGATCCCCCCAAAAACCCACACTGGGTCTGAATGTACTGGGAGTGCTGATCATTGCTGTGAGCACACCTGAAAAGCATTCTTCATCCTGTTACCTGTCAATGGAAACACATCCAGGCTGAATCATTCATGGAATGACAGTGAGACAGATAACAGATCTCCAGAACAAAACATGCTTTTTCCACAAATCACCTGCAAATTAACTGTGGATTTTTACAGACCCCAGGAAGGAACATTCCCAACCTTGCTGGACGGAGTAAAACCATGGCACAAACAAAGCACTGCACGTTTCCCACACCTTGAGAGCTCCACGCTGTGATGGCACTGAGATGTGCTCCTCCATCCCAGCACCGCAGTGACATGGAAGCACCTTCCTGCTCCCTCTGTATGTTACACTGAAAAACGTGCTTCCGAAAGAAGTGGCAGTGAAAGACCCACAGATTGAAGTTGTTACCCAACAGATATAAAATCAGAAGGATGTGTTGCACTGTACTGCAACATTTGGGGCATTAAGAGTGCATTTGCAGGTTTTCCACTGTGAAGTACTCTCAACACTGGATTTTATGGTACAAAGTCCGAAATCATCTGCATCCCCACCAGTGTGGACTGCAAGGGGAAGGCAGCTGACAGAGCAAGGAAGTAGAAGAGCAAAATGGGAAGTTTTTTAACCAAACCAAACCACCTCCAAAATGATTCAGCAGCAACCTGATATAAACCCGATCTTTCAAAACTATACAACTTCATAAACTATAAACCTGCTCTTTAAAAGGCCACTTTTGTATTTGCTTGCCACTGAAATCTTGATTCTGCATGTGGGCACACCACATTCCAAGTACAGACAGAACCACCACGGACCCGTTACCTGGGTTTGGCAGAGAAAAATGCCAGAAGTAAAGACAAATCACTATCGTGCAAGCAAAGTTTTAAGGAATGCTAGAAGATCAGCAAGTATTTTTCATTTTCATAAGCAAACTTTTATGTTTAGGTGAGAACAGGATGAAAAAGGGACTGAAGGAAAAGACAGTGGTGTATATTATTTTAATAACATGTATTGAAATAAAAAGACAGAACTCTGCTTATATATGGCACTGGCATAACTGAACTGGAAATGAGCCCCAGCATGCCTAGTTCCTCCTGAACAACACAACTGGTCACCAAACAGGATTTAAAGACTACAACAAAACTTTACATTAGAATTTGTCATGAAAAGAAACTGCCTTAGAAACACCTCATCTGAAATACCTGACCATGGAAATATCTAAAGAATATTCACCAGCTGAATAGAAACACCAGTTCAACAAAAAGAGTTAAACCTTAGTATACCCAGCATCAAGTAAATCCTCAAGTGCAAAAAGTTAAGAGCATTATGTAATGCGGTTGTGTTAGCTGTAAATCAGTTCTTAGATGTAACCTAGTTCTGTCATCCACTGACATGGTTTCTGGCCCGATACACTGCAATGCTTTGTATGTGCAAGCTTTCGGGAAATTCACTTTCTGGCCTTAAAACGGAGTTGTAAATATGCTCTAGAAACCAAAACCAGAAGCCTCTCAAGCAGATCCTTAAAGTGCATACAACATGTTTTCATACAATTGGCAGGGAAATAGCATTAAAGTAATCAGGGACTTGGTACAGAGAACTGGGGAGATGGAACAGAAAATTAGGACTGTGCACTTCAAATGAACTCAGTGCTTCCTTTTTTCCTGCTATTTCCTAGGTAACAACAAGGATTATATAAAGGCGTAGAGTAGCCTCATAGCAGCGTTGCTGCTGTATGGAGCTTATGTCAGTACAAAGCGCTGGCTCACAAGGAACACTGGCTGCAGTAACAGCAGTTTTAGTAATGTTTGCAAAGTCACTCAGCACTCGATGGAGTCCAATCTCACACCCCAGAGTAAATCTGAAGCGTGATGCCTGGACAGCAACCCTTTTGTGGCATCGTGCCTCATTTCTTCAGCATGGTGACAGTGAAGGGCTCAGAATTCCCTTGTTACTACATTTTACGTTCCTGAAATATCAGGTGTAAATAAATAAATAAATTCTTGCACCTCTGTTACATGCTGACATTTTAAATGTCAAACTCATTCAATCTAAGATGAATGACAGATTTTTGGCACCTTTCTTCATTAGTTTTGAGAAAGGTGAGTGAAGTTACTCTGGCAGCAAAACCTACAATGCTTTAAAAGCACTTCATAGACAGCATTATCTTCATGCCAAGTACAACGCCTTGCTGTAATTAAGAAACCCGAAAAGGCTCAAAGATGCCATCTTCTCACCATGTACAGTGCTTTTAAAAACAAACCATGTTCTGCAAGACAAATTCACGTTTGTTTCCTAAGCCCACTGTTGGTATAAATCTGTTTTCTGTGCCACTTCCCTTGCCTCTTCCAAAACCTTTGCCTTCATTTAATAGATTACACCTTCATTTATTTCCACACGCAAAGCAGCATTCCCCATTCAATCTGAGTTAAAGCAGGTGCTTTGGTCAGGAACCCCTGGAAGTCTGTGTCAGAAAATGCTGCTGACACCAAACAAAACCACTGGGGCTTGTGAGCAAGGGGTAACCACAGAGGGTTCTGCACAGCAGTGACTGCAGGGAGCCTCAGCACATTCCTATGCATGTGCTGTGCCCCACAGATGTCTTTGCGTTGAACTTCACATCACATTTGGAAACATGGTCTCCTCCAGCACATCCTTCTCCTTCGGTAAGAAGTAAACCAGACACTACCTCCTGTGAGACACGTTGTGGGGGACCAAGAACAGTTCTTGTTTCAGTGGCTTCTACACCCTTCCCACCTCCTGCTGCTGCTTCGGGTCACCCTGGTGCTGCTGTTTCTGCTCCTGCTTTTCATTACCACCCAGTGCTTTTGCCTCGGTGGCTATGGACCTGGGTCTACCAGGCCTCTCCTCATCCTGCTGGTGCTTGTCACAGTGTCTTTCCGAGACAGAAACCCTGGCAGACGCCCGGTTGCAAAGCAAGCAGTGCGTCCTCATGCCGAGCCGCAGGTCCGCGGCCCTACAGAAGGCTGTGCCGCAGACCGAGCAGCGCTGAGGCTCCCGCGCCCCGTGCGTCTTCAGGTGCTGCGTGAGGGCTGCCGCCTCCTTGAGGCCTTCCCGCAGGCGGAGCACACGGAGCTCCTCTCGCCCGCCTCCAGGAGCGGAGATGCAGGGCAACGTGGGACTCGGGGATGAACGCCTTGCCGCAGAGCCCGCAGCCGTGCGGCCGCTCCCCGCTGGGCGTGCGCTTGTGGAGAACCAGCCCCGAGGGGAGGGCGAACACTGTGGCTCCCGGCGGGCAGCGGCACGGCTTCTCCCCGCTGTACACACGGCGGCGCTTGGCCTGCGCGAACACCTTCCCGCACTGCTTGCACCCGTGGGGCCGCTCCGCCAGAGCCCAGCCCCGGGACACCGGCCCGGCCCCATGCGGAAGCGGCGGCGGCGCACGTTGGAGACGGCAGAAAGTGGGGTGGAGCGGCCGCCATTTTGTGGTGCGCCTCCTCTCCGTCAG